AAACATATCTACACATGAACACATGTTTAAAACTTGCTAAATCCTGTAACTTTATCGACTGAAAGTCATTTCTTTTTGCATAGATCACTTCGGTGTAAGTACTGATTCATTTTTTTTTAAGTTTATTAATGTACCTACTAGTAAGAGAGCTTTGTCGTTTCTGCTTTTACAAATTCGGCGTCCAGCATTAATTTAGACAACAAAACCAATAAACGGAAACTCTTCTACAAGATATAAGAGTCTTTAGATATATTTTAGTCCGACGAAAGAAACCATAGTAACACAACAATGACGTTTAGTTGTTTATAAATTTTGTGACGTCATTCTGAATTTATGAAGTGAAATCGATGTATTTCAGTTCCTCATACCAAAAACTATAAGAAATAAACATTTGTATAGTTAACGGAAAATATGCTTCCCTATTCTACTGAGTTATGTTATTTTGCAAATTTGTACAAATTAAAAGAAAATACGTAGATTTTGGGACTGAAGTTAGTAGGTTAGCAGAAAAGGCCTAAAATACGTAGATCTACGTAAAAAGACGTAGAGTTGGCAACACTGGTGGGCACAGATGAGTAGTACCATAATATTTTGTGGTAATATCTACTGCGCAACTGCGTCATGTAGCATATTGTATTTAGTGATAACCGAAAAGGAAACAATAATCAATATTATTATCATTGCTATTTTATATTCCTTCTTTTTTTACGATTTATTGTGTATAGGTAAAGGGGCTTAGTATTTTTTTTTCTTTCTTTCTTTCTAATGTTGTCCAGATAATAGTACGGAACCCATGCGGTCCGACTCGCACTTGGCCGGTTTTTGTAGGTTTCACTTCTATCGCATGTAAACAACACATGTCCGTTTTTTATTTTTTCATAGCAGCCAAATTGTATTGCACTGGTTCGTACGTTTAAAATTAGGGATAAAGGGGCTGAATTTTTTAAGAAGATAAAGGAGATTGCTCAAATTGGCCCAAATGCACAAAAAATATTGACATACACGGTAATTTTTGGTGTAATTTATAATTTAATTTACAGTCATTAGATTTCAACGGACACCTTTGTTTAATATATTTACTTTAAAAAGGACTTTTAATTTTACCGGTTTGGAAAACATACGAATCATTTTTAATAGCTATGGGTGTAGTAACATTCAGCTAATGACTGATCAAAGTTGTTTATATAACATAAAAACAAATCTATTTTGTAAAGATGGATAAAATAAATCATTTGTTTATTACACTGTGTTATTAATGTCCACAACTATATTATCATTTTCAATACATGCAAATGTGCTCAGACAATTATTTTATATAGTAGGCGACATCATAAGGTCTATTGCCATACATTTTTCGCCAAACACCTCCATAAACACATTATGATCTGTTAAGACTTTAAGGTATCTTTCTATGGGCCTGCGTTGCCTGACTCCTTTATAATGTGCTTATCAATATATCTTAATACCATGTTGTCTGAAGTGACTTCTTAATACTAAAAAATGATTTTTCTTGTGGGGGAAAAAATACTAAGTACTTACTTCTCGTAAAAATTATCTTTAAAGACTCAAAAGTGCTAAACATAATTTGACTCATATCGGTGGATAGAGGGTTTATTCTGTTGTTAAAAATGTTAGGTTTTGAGTTCAGAGAATCTTACTCGAAACTCGAATTGAGAACCTTTTCCTTTTGAAATCGGTTAAAATTATTTAGCAAAAAAAGCATGTTTTTTAAATAAGTAATATTCCCATGATATTAAAAGAAATTTTCTTTCATATTATATAACTTTTGTCTTAAGGAGACTACCAGCCTCCATAAAAATTGGGAACATCTCCTTTGTTTCAAAAAATAATCAAACAACTAGGTTACAGGCAGCGTTGCCAGATTTTTTTTGTCAAGTCAAGTCGGAACTTAGGAACTTTTTGAGTGGAAAAAGCGTGATTCTTTCGTCGAAAGCGGGACATTTTTTGAATATTTATCATTTTATTTGAGTTCAAATTACGTTTACGTGACAATAGATAGGTAAGTAAAACCTAGTAAAAATATCCATAGAAAATGTATTTTAATAAAAATATGATATTTTCACCCGACCGCGCTTTCTCAGTACGCTGCACGCACGGTCGAGCTATTCCCGAAAAGCGGGATTGAGCCTGTCCCGCGCGGGACATTTAATTTTGATTTAAAAATGGGGACGTCCTGCCATAATTGTGACGTCTGGCAACGCTAGTTACAGGATTCTTTTCGCGGAACCGAAAACAAAACTTCCCCGACTCTATTCGACAGACAAACTAGTAGGTTTATAATAGCCTGACTGCTCGACTGGTGTATGTATGGTATACCTAGCAATAAACGTGAGCGACCTCTAGCGTCATTAATTAAACCTCTTAAAGCTAGTCGACCGCTCTCTTAATTAGGTATGTTAATTAATAAACTCCGCATTACCGTGTTTTAATTAAATATTTTCTAGAAAATTAAGGAGGGAAGCGACTTTTTTCCTGTAATTATTCTCACTTTTTTTTCTTGTTTCGTCGACGAGTAATTAAATTTAAGGATGGATCGAAAGTTTTTATTATTTTAACGAGCGGTTGTTAGGTATTCGTTTACCCCTTTCCTCTAGTCTCGATATTGAAAGAAAAAACTTATTTTTATTAATAAAAAAAATTGTAATATAACGAGCATTGTAGAGGCTAGGGCAAGAAATAGGTTTACGTGCTTCAGGAATTTCAATCTTGTAACTACGTAATAAAGACGTTATTAATAGCATTTTTGTCTATCATCAGCTCGGGTATAGGTAGGTTTAACATGTTCAGTTTAAAAAAAAGGATCTTTTACATTAGTCTTTTACATAATGTTAATTTTGTTCTGAATAAATATTTATTATTTAAGCATAATGAAATAAAATTGAAGAAAGAAGAAAAACTGGTCTTTAAACAATCTAGAGGGTCTCAAAAGAAAAAGAAAAATTTGTTAAGTAATTAGTTTAGTGGGTATTTGTAGGGAACATGATGGAAACAAATCGTTAATGTAATACAAAATTTATAATCTCTATGATATAATACATAACAATAAGTATAAGATATTGTTCGATGTTCAAGTTTACTTCAAAATATATTTGTTTTGGTATCAATATTATTAAATGTTATATTATTATATGTAATTTAATTAATAATAAATTACTGCGTAACAATGTTATTAATCGGAATAATTAGGGAAAATATATCAAATCGACTACTGAAAATATTTTTCAAATAAATTAATATTAACGCTAAAGAAGTTTATTGAACATTGAACAACACAATTACATAATTATGCTTATCTAAAATTTACTTTAAGTAGTAATTATAATAAGATTGTAATAACATCCCATACTTTATAAGAATTTATTAAGATTTTTTGCAAATTATACAAAATAAATTTATTTGAAAAATAAACATTTTCTAACTACAAAATAATAAGATTGATTATAGATTATTTTAATTTGGCTGTTTTTAAAAAATGACATACATTTTAGAAAGGAAACCAAATTCTTGTTTTAGAAAACATGTGTAAAAGAAATTGTATTCTAAAGGATTTTTTTGGAATTATACAACTTAAATATTACATAATGGAAGTAAACTTGTTACATAATTGAATAATGTTAAAATCAATAAGGGATTAATATTCATTCACAGTCATTAAAAATGAATCTTTAGGAATGTAAGAATATAGAAATCTTTTTAAAAATTGTCACAGTAGGCGACAACAGTCTTTAGCTTATTAATAAAAGTCAACATGAATAATTAAATTATAATACTTATTAATACACTTAACTGTGTATCTGATTGCTTCTAAGGTGGATTTCACACATTTTATACAGGCTAATTTTAGATGTTCAAAAGTGTTAAGAAGTTTAGCACTATATAGGTGACAGAAGACACAAGAAGAGTTGTCATGTTTAGTTTATTAAGTCACATACATACAACTAATGGACCAGCCAAATAACAAAGACTTGAAAATATGGCAAACAAATGCAACATATATAAATGAATATACTTAAATCAAAATGATTCATAACCACTAATAATACACTCGACCGCAAATAAACTGAGCTAGTACTAGGAACAAGGAACTACCTTGGAACTCTAATACAATTTCTCAAAAAGTATAAACTTACAACTATCAAAGCTGTATCTAAGAGAAAGTGCGTTATATAATGATTAATATGAGTAAAAAGAAACAGAAAATACTGACAACTTACTTTGTAATCAAGCAAGAAACATAATACTTACAGTTTGCAACATTTTTTAATAAAATTATTTTATATAAAATTAAGAGTTTCTCATCGTTTCTTTAGTTTTTGTCCATAGTTTTTTTTTCAGACGTGTATATTTTTGCTGACAGTCTGATATTTCTTATCGTTTCTTTAGTTTTTTTTAAACATGTGTATTTTTGCTACGTTTTTTACTACCGATTAATACAACTGGAAAACGACTCTTTGGAAAAATCTTATTAAAAACCTAATAAATTGATTAATCTCAGAAATAAGTTCCTGTTTATTCAGTTCATAATGAAACTCAATTTCTGTAGATATAAGTTATAACTTTAAGAGTTGAAAGTTTTATATTGTTCAATTAAATCTAATCAGAGTTCTCAGGTGGCAAGTGGCCCGGTTTATTTAATGTACAGTGCAGTTTTACATAACTTACAAATAAAAGAATTTAAATTGAAACATTGTCCGTTTTCATTATTACAGTACGATCTTTCACGAGTATGTACAGTCAATGGCAAATCAGACTGGATTTATGACATGCTAAGACTGAAAATGAAGAAATTACAACTACATATAGCAAGATATGCTGTTGGAAAGAAATAAAATAAGCTCCGTGTAAATATTTCATTATTTAGACTTAACAAAATTGTATATTTGTTTTATCTCTTTAAATATGTAATCTTGAACTAAAGAGTCGTAATAACATGAAAACTTAAAATTAACTAATAAAAAAAAAAGGAAATAGTTTCTATTGTTTGCGCTAAAAATATGATTCAATACTTCAAAAGAACAGCCATAGAGTATGCAAGGCAGATACGGCGCGTAGGTAGACGGTGATTCGTCGAATAAAAGGTGTCAATCACTCACAGAATCCGTTTTATTGGCGCAGAGTCTGAGCGGCTTGGAAAGTGTTGTGCATCAGCATTGCGACTGTCATTGGACCCACCCCGCCGGGGACTGGAGTTAAGGCACCGGCGACCTTGCTTACTTCTGTTTGGAAAAAAATATAAAGAGTTTAGAAAAAATTGGGACTTGGAATGCCTGTCTAGTTTGGTAGTCACCATCTTACTACTCTCTATTTTGTGATCTTACAAAAGACCACAGTATGGTATGTATTTAGTTTTCTGGTTTCGAGGGCTCTTTATGGTTGGGGATTGAATGTACGGATAGTCCGTCAAACTTTTGAAGTGAAAACTTCTTTAGCTTTAAAAATGTTAAACTCGCGTCAGGACACGTGACCTGATCGAAAATTTGTAAGACGGATGGAGAGTAGACAGCCGGCGCGGCGTAGGAGAGGAAGTATCCTCCTCTCTTTCTACGGCGTGGCGAAAATGTATGCCTGCGGCTGCTGTTTCGTTTAGGCGGCGCAGGGCGCATGCGCGAATGTTCGTGTGTGTTTATGTTATAGCGTGCCACGCGCATCCATGGATGGTGACAGCTGATGGCTCGACCGTCTGTGTAGTGGCCACACTGCTGTGTATTCGTAAAATTCGTGTATATAAAGTGTTTAAAATATGGTAATTCCCTAACCATTCCAAAATCAAAAACGAACAACGTTAATATTGAAGTTTTCACTTCTGCCGGCACTCCCGGAGTGCAACCCGTCTTTTTTTGTTCTGCATCTGCAATCATTTTTATTTCCGATTTGGGAGACATATTATAAGAAAGGCATTGAAATTTGCTTCGACTTTGAAAGGAGTCACAAAAGGAGGTTTTCTTCCAAGTCTATAAAAGTTAAACATCATTTGATTATCTAAATAAAATTTTCCTAGAATAAAATGCACGCGGACCAGGCAGCAGACGGGCCTTCTTTAGATTTAAACTTAAATGCTTAAAAAATAAAAATATAACTTATGATTTGCAAAGCTAAAAAGTTAGACAACTAGGTCCAAGATTTGTACACAAAGTGCAATAGTAGGTAATTTAATTAAAATAGTCTTAAAATAAAAAGTATATGAATATTTTGTTAAATAACATACATGTGTATTTACTTACTAATTTGTAAAAATATAATTATCCATCAAACTTACCTGCATAGTCAACGTCTCCAACTAATTTAGTCTTTCCTTGCTCATCTGTTATTCTACTGATACCAACATCAATCACAGTAGCTCCCGGTTTCACCATGTTGGCTTTGATAAGACTCGGTATACCTGTTGAAGAATATACAACTTAGAGAAAAACACATTGAAAGTTGCTGTTCACTATTTTACTGATGATGAATTAAATGCAATTATGAAAATGATAATTGACCACATTCATTACAATAATTTTATAGTCACTTTAGCCCAGAAATTTATATTATTGGCTATAATATTAGTTAATTTAGTATCTAACATGATAATGTCCAATGTCAAAATATTATGTAAATACTTAAAACAATAGTTATTTTGGTTAGAATAAAGAAAGATTTTTTTTTATAATAACAAAGTAAGTCTTACCTGTAGCGGTAACAATGATATCAGCATTTCGGCAGTACAATTCCAGTTGCTCTTTAGGAGTGTATCGGTGGCATATAGTCACAGTCGCGTCCATACCCAGTCCACTATCGTGTCTTTTGTCTGAATGCAACATCATGGCTATTGGCATGCCAACATTTTTCGATCTTCCAACAACAACAGCATTTCGACCAAATGTTTCTATTTTAAATCTAAAACAAAAAAAACTTAATTTTAACCTTTGTTTGATGTACAGTAAAAGCTCTTTATTCGCAGGGCATTTATTCCAGAAATATGCTGCGAATACAGAAACCCTGAATATGCAGTGGTAACTTATATGGGATTTCAGCACATTCTTAATGCGCGAATAGTGAAAATGCCAAATAAAGGAAGTTTGGATAAGGAGCTTTTATTGTATTATTTTTTTAATTCATAAATTGTAGTATCAGTTAAATAAAGAAATAAACTATTTATCAAAACTTTATTTTTGATTATGTTGTTTGGAAAGAACAGAATCAGAATATGAATTTTATTTTAGAATTAGTAAAGTATTCATTTATTAAAACTTACCTTTTGAGCATTTCAATTACAGCAAGAGCAGTTGCTGGAACAATAGTAGGCATATCCAAACAAAGTTGACCTACATTGATAATGTGGAAACCATCAACATCCTTCTTTGGTGTCACTGCGTTGCAGACTTTTCTTTCATCCATTGTTTCGGGCACAGGCAGTTGAACTAGAATACCATCTACATTATCATCAGCATTTAACTCTTTGATGGCATTAATTAGTTCTTCTTCAGTTAAAGTTTCTGCATACTTTATGGTTTCAGCATCAATGCCTACATACCTTGCCGCTTCTATTTTGTTCTTTACATATGTGTGACTAGCAGGATCATCTCCAACAATAATGCATCTTAAAGATGGTGCCCGATGACCTTGGTTTATCCAATCTTGTATTTTGATTTTAAGTTCATCTTTAATGTCTTTAGCTAGTGATTTTCCATCTAAGACTTGGGCCATTATCCTGTCAGACAAAATAAAATATCAAAATAACAAGTAATCAAAGTGTAATTGTAGAAACCGTTTTAAACACACAAACCCTTTTATTGAAAAACTGTTAATGAAAAAAAATGACAGACAATTAGAAAATTATAATTTGAAGCAAACACAGAAAAGAAAAAAGAAACTAGGCAAAAGGTGTAGAAAAAATTGTTATAATCCACACTTTATAAAAACAAACTACATTTTTAAACCTAAAATAAAAAACCAGCCTACAAACAGAAAAGTGCAATGTATCCATAGCCACAAAAAGCGATCAACAACTTTTTTTTAATTTACCTGGCCGAGCCTAAAGAATCAATGTACGTGTGGCTTCTCATTGTGGATTTCAGTAGTGTACTGACTAAACTGTAGCGCAAGATTTGCCTCATCACCTACTGTTGATGTACATAGGTCATTAGGGCATGACAGATAGACAACTTATTTTTGTTATATTGATAAAAACAAGATTAGAAATGGCCAACTGGAAATATTTGCTTTAAGTCGATCTCTACGCAACTTGTTAAGGTGGCAGAGTTCGAGTATATCAAACAAAACTGCAGTAATTGGCAGTGCAGTCTGCCTAAAACCAGTTTGGGGATGTTTTACTTATCACATTCTATAATATTACTGGATATTTCAAGTTTATGTAGTTCAACTAAGAATATATATTATAAACAGATGAGTTTGTAGTAAACAATAGTAATGCACCACATTTTTTCATATCATCAGAATTCATCTTTTGGGAAAAATATATTTGTTTTTAATAATTTATCACTAATAAATACATTTGTTATTACAAGTACTGATAATTGTAGTAATATTAATATTGACAATAACTTTAAAAGTAAAATAGGTAAAACTGTACTTCCAGGGCCCAAAAGGTGATACTTGTTTTTTTTTTTGTAGAAAAGGTCTTTTTAACAGTTTTTTTTCTGGCGCTTCGCCGGCCGCTACCGCGGCACGCTCGCTTTGCTCGCTCGGCTCGCGCGTTATGGTCACAACACTAACCTAACCTAACCTAGTGTGAAGTACCACTTGATAAGAAAACTAAAAATTTTCAATATTTTTTTCCAAAAAACTACCAGTGCATAAGTGTGACATTTTTTTTGGTACTAAATTCCATTAGTTGTGGTGGAATTTCGGGGTAGTTTTGATGTGGGGGGGAGGAGGGGGTCTCCCCGACTCCCCCCCTACTAAAGATTTTAGTCGGAATTGCATGTTTTTTTTAATTAACCTAACCTAAAAATTCATAATTTTTTTAGGATGCAAGGACAAGGGAAGTAAGAACCAGTAGTTCTGCCTTATCTCCGGCGCTGCGGGAATAGCAGCCCCGCCGCCTTTGCGTGACAAAGTCACAAGCATCACTCTCCTTCACACCTTCGGCTTGTTGGTCGCCACCTCCGGCGGCGACCAGCCTCAGGCGCTACGGGTCGCACGATGCTTGCGGCTTTGTCACAGCAGGCGGGGGCTGCTCTCCCTACGCGCCTCCGGGCTCTAAAAAACACTCTAGGGGTAGGGCAGACCAAGACCACGGCGTGTCGGGGTTGACCAAGTCGGTTCTGAATTAAAGATTGTTGTAAAGCCACATTTACCTTTTTTTCTAAGTGTGGAGCCCATACTATTTCTTATTTACCAAGTAAATAATAGTAAATATACTTTTTACCGACGTACACAGACTGACTGACATTTCTCAAAACAAAGACAAAACGGCGGGACATATGTCATTTTGACAATAGTACCAACATAATCAACATATTTTTTACCATAGACAACGAGAAACATGTTATTTCTGCATGAAAAAATGGCTGTCAAAATTGACTTTAACCTACAAAAATATTAATTTTCAATATTTTTTTTCTCGAGTTCTATTCGTTTTCGAATAAAAAAATTTCGTGTGTGTGTTCCTAATAATTAATACTTTCCGTGACAAAAATCTTAGCTCACTACTCAACCACAACTAATGGAAAGCTGAGCCTTTTTTTTAATAATGTGGTTAACAGAAACCTTTTTAACAACAAATATGCGAAATTACAACCAACAAAACTGTGAAGTTTTTACTTTTGGGCCCTGGAAGTACAGTATATCCGTAAAATATTAGTAGGTTTGAGCTAAAAAACTCTGGAAACTTAGATTGAATTTCTCAATATTCAGGACACTCTATGCACTTTACTACCTTTCATTGAATGCTGTGTTTCCTTTCATAGTAGCGTCAAATGCTTGTTGATATAACAAGGTAACAATACTGTTAAAATATCCTGAAGTACATCAAACAGCAACACTTCTTAGAAATATGTGGTAATAACAGAGAAATCATAAATTGCGTTAGTATGGTTGCGTCATTTGAATGAACAATATTATTGATAAATATAATAAAGATTTGTTGTTCACTTAGATCAGTGTTTTTACAGAATCACGACAAAATAATGTTAGGTTTATTACAATATGCTAATTTAACACGTTGATATTTAGTTTACTGAAGTAAGTAGATTACGAATTAGAAAAAAATATATACAAACCTCGTCCTGCAACAACTATCAAATCAATCAAAGAAAACAAAAATCACACAATATATTATATTGTATTTTCTTTTATTCTGCACCACACTTACATGAGGAATAAAAGTTTAAACGATGTGAGTGAATGAGAAAAAGCAACGTAAAGAAAACTCGAAAAGTAAACTTATTGACGTTTTTCAATTGACGTTTAAATGACACATGACATAACGCGCATGCTCGTTTGCGTTTCGCACATTTTTGCAAAGTACATATTTGCGTTTTGATACGTATATGTAGTTTCATAGCCTGTATGACGGATAGAACTGTTTTCCATGCATCTTTGTCTAACCTGTAGAGTGTACACTAAGAGTGAAAGAGCAATTGACGTAAGTTTGACAATGCTGAGTATGGGTGTAAATTATGACCTACGAGTGTCCGAGTAATATGCTCACAACATTGTGGTGAGGTATGGTATTTTCATTAATTGAAAGGAATTCATGCTGTTAAGCGTATAAATTATATAAAAGTATATAATAATGCCGTGTTCAGCTGTGTTCTGTTTATCGAGAACAGTAAAAGAAAGGATAAATAACTCGAAAAATTATCGAAAAATTTATCATTTCATTTAGCATATACTGGCATTTTCATATCAGAATAATACAATCATTGGGTTCTATTGAGTTTGTGTCACCAATTTTCACGGCACAATTGAATTAAATTAATGTATATATTAGTGTATACAAAATACGCATTAAAAATAATATATTTTAGAGCTGTACTTTTAGTGTTTACATAATTTTGTCGATAAAAATATTAAGGGCTAGCGCATATATATAACTTTTAGTTGAACAACTATTTTGTTATGTAGCTCAACAATAAAGTCAAAAAGCTGTATCGATCTGCTTTTGATTAAAAAGTTAGATAACTGTCGATCAAACGCTTAATTTGTATTGCATTGTATTGATGTGCACATACCATCGACTAAACAGTCGATCCGCGATTATCAGTCTCGCATAAGCATTTAGAGTCACTTCACGTCTCTTGTCACCATGGCGTGCTTTGCGGGAACTATTACGGACGGATGAAATTTGGTACACATAGTTTATGACCTGGAATGAGACATAGGTTACTTTTTATCCCGGAAAAATTTTAGGTTCCCGAGGGTTAACCAAAAAACAAAATTACGCGGGCGGCCACTAGTATGTTAATAAAAAAATGGGTGCGTGTACTTATGTAGGCGCGTGAGAAGTTATCCTTAAAATTTCACTCGCATCATTTTTTCATAACGCGCCTAAAGAAGTATAACTTCAATTAATTAATAAAAAAGTATATGTTGTATGATTTTATGTATTATACAAAAAAATATACTACTTATGTCGTATTGAAATGGTACAAAGCCTTCAGGAGAAACAAAATAGGACGTTAAGTACTGGCGGACATATACACCACCTGTAAGATTTCTTATAAACAGTATCTTCTTTTTTTTTCTCTTTTGAAATTTCTATAAAGTAAAGCACAAATTAGAACCTTCTTTTTAATTGACATTGTATGTCACACCTTGACTCGAGCTTTGATAAATAAAAAATGGTCGAATTGAGGAGATTAAAAAAAATCGATGATCGACTGTATCAATTGTATGCGTACCTTCATTAACTAAACGGTTTAGTTGTGTGGAAATCACGAGAACTACAAAACGCGACAAAACAGTTTAGTCGATGCAAAAGTTGTATATATGCGCTAGCCCTAACAGTACCTAGTATAATTTTTTTTTTAGTATTTAATTGCTAGATGTTTATATCTAATGAATCGTCTTCGCACAGTCACATATAGGAGTAAACAACTCCGGATTCCGGAGATGGTGAAAAAATCCTTAAGAGCACCCAACTGTCTTCCTCACCTGCTCGTGGTAACGTGGCACCCCTGCTGATTAAAAGACGAGGTTTGAAGCCACCGATGAACGATGGTATAATTGTTTTGAAATTTGCCATATTGAGTAAAACCACAGACCGTTGTCGGTTGGTCAACCCGTATGCCCAACGTGGCCCTTTTATTAGGCAAATTTTGTACTTTTAATAGGAAAGATTCATAAACGACGGCCTCTAGTCCCCGGCGCCCACGCTGTCTCTGGCTTCGTTATTAGGGGGTATGGAGTGAGGGGTTTCAGGCGGTCTGGGGTGTCAGGTGGGGGGTGCGGGATCAGGGGGGGAAGGGAGATGGGGTTTGAAGGAACCCTTGACCTCACCTCACACACACCACGGAACGTTGAACTAACTCGTGACAACGTGACATGAAGTCACACTTTTTCGTGCGTTCAACCGGTGTTCATCGATTTATAAGACGTTATCACGTCAAAAAAAAGATAATAATTCTCACAGACCGAAGCGGTCTGCGGCTGCGGTTAGCTACCTGACGCGGCTCTGGCCGACACGACGCGACGCACACTGACGACTGCCGAGGTCATAGTGGCTGGCGAACTGATTCAGCACTCCTGAATTTGTGCTATTGGCGGATCTCAGATATACGGTGGCGGAGGGAGTTGGGCCAGCGCAGGCCGGGGTGGCGGCCAATTCTATTCACTTGTAATGTTAGCGAGTGTTCAAACACGATCGACCAATAAGGGCTGGCCGCGGCCGTAGGCCGCCTCTGTCCTGGGATTGGGATCCTTAAAGGGTATTTCAATTTATAATTTTGTCCAAATACCATGATGCAGACAGAAGCAGACCTAAAGGCCAATTAGGACTTCATGTCAAAATAAAGGATCACCCATACGAAGCTCTAAGTGAATGGATACAAACACGGAGGAACTGCTGAGTTGCTTTGCTATAAACAAACAATAGGTATTTAATCAATTGATAAAATTTTCCCACGACTCGTTATTTGTTATTGCGGATATCTTAGGTATAATGAGACGGTGATAACAGTCACGCCTTTACTGTACGACAGTGCGTGAGTGCTGGCAGACGTAAGTGGGTGCGGTTATGACGCCGAGGTCACCCTGATAAGGTGGTGTCATATAAACATTTTATGAGTTGTTAATTAGTCATACGCAATGTTAACAATTTGTTACGAGAACAGTAGGTACAGGCGCGGTGCCATGAACTTATAACGGGATACAAAGACAGCGTCGACAGCGTTTTGTTTTTAGTTTAGCAAATGACTTCATTGTATTTGGTTAAGACACGATAAAGATTATCACAACATCGGCTTAAACTATACTCGGCTGGTATCTGTAGATGATGTTTCTCCAGACTGTTACTCATTATCTGTCATCAACCTTCTATCTACTGTCCCCACTGCTGGGGAACAGACTTTAAGTATCAAATGAAAAAGATGACAAATTATATACATATTTGTTATAAGCATCTAACTGCTGTTCGATGTTTAATCTAAAGAAAATTCCACGCGGACCAGGCAGCAGCCGGGACGTGAACCCGCTAGTAAAATTTTTAAACATCTAGCAGTTAAATTCTAAAAAAAAGTAAATAAAAATAAACCTGTAAAGGTATTCATTTGACATTGTGGGTTACCTACAATGCAAAGAGATGGCGCTGCCTTGCAGTCTAAGAAAGGCTAGAGAAAATTCCACACGGACACTAAGGGCCGCGGTAGCATAATGGTCAGTGCATCCACCCGAATAGCGGAGAGTGCGGGTTCGAATTCGGTCTGCTGCATGGTCCGTGTGTATTTTCTAGTAAAATTTTCTTATGATAACAAATAACCTACTTACCTCGTGGATCTGTAACCTACCGAACCTAGCCGACTGTAGTTGTAACTGAGACTAGCCGGACATGTTATTAGAATCAAGGAGAAGGTCGGGATATTAATGTCACCCATTTAGGGATTATATCCATTACGAAACTACTACATAATATAAACGCACTGCCGGCACTGCGTAATCAAGATCCTACTGAGAAAAGTTTCTCTAGGGACTTCCAATAAACAACATTGACGAGTTTACCTTTTAAATTGATAAAAATAACTTGCTTAATGTCGCCAGTCCACATGGAAGTCTACCAATATTGCGTTTTCTGATGCTAGGACGCCATTAAAGCACCTGGGGATCCTAACATCCAGTGACACTTTGAAATATGGGCCCTGCCTATTGCGACTCTTGAGTTCTCATGACACTTTAGTTCTTCTACGGATATTCTCATTTCTGATTCGAAAACACAAAACCATTGATCTTGCGGCGAATCTGGGCCACCATATGGGGCCCATAGTCAGTTAACACGTGTCAGATCCGTATCATATTTTGTTACGCAACACGGCAACACACATTATTCGAACACCTTGGTTTTTCGGAACTGAGGAATTTGGTTGTGAACACTTTATAGATTCCCGAACGCAATTTTAGCCGAGACGAATTGGGCGATTAAGTAACTCTTTCTTAAACTTACTTATCAGTTGAATCGGGCACGGCTGAACCCTTTGACCAAACAGTTTTGTTTCAAGTGCAATTTATATACCTACATGACTGCTAAGGTCGTTGGAGCGTTGTGTCGAGATCTTCCAAAGTCTCCTTCCTTTACACTACCTAGGTGTGAGTGATATCTCTCGTACTCGCTGTTGAATAGTTCTAATTCAGAAACTAAGGCTCATATTACAGTTAGAAAGGGATGTCGCTGTGTGCTTTACATAGCGACATCCCTTTCTAACTGAGCTCAAGTAAAGATCAACACTTAGTTGTCATTCTGTCATACGAGTTTTAAAGATGTCCACGTGATTTGGTCTTGTATTGAAACTACGATATTGGTGTCGATTTTGGCTAAACTTAAAACTAAATTTATCATCAGTCTCTCCTTTGGGCACGGGTGTTCTCTATGGATAAAATGGGGAGATTGGGCTATGCATGACCCACCACGAGGGCCCAGTGTGGAGGAGGGGCTCGAGATAGTAACTTTTACTTACTCATCCAATGACCGACAACTGCGAAAGTTGCTTAACTTCAACGATCGCAGCCGGATGCGCTAATAACTTGCACCATCGAGCTCTTCCTAAATATTTAGTGAGTGAAGTTATGCTTGTTTTTCTACAGACTTATCAAATTCTCCATGATACCCAGAAGTATCGATTCCGTATGTAAGCTTCAGTGCTGATCTCTTCCATGATGGACTGGAAGCCGCTAGGTACTTACTTT